CCAACAAATGGCACTCAGAGCGCCAGCTAGTGAGGACTGGTGGAATCCAAGCAGCCAGTGTTTCTCGGACAAGAGACTGTGTCCGCAGGAAGCAGAGGGGGCCAAGTGGGGGTGAAGAACAGTAGGGAATGGGAAAGCGTATATCACAAATTACCGGAGCTCTGCAGCCCCTCAGGAAGAAGCAAAGATGGTGCACAGAGCCAGGTATTTGAGCGTAAGGAGGTGGAGGTGGTGAGAGGTAAGGAAGAAATCAAAAGAAGTGGGGAAAGAGCAACACCAGCAGCCAACAAATGGCACTCGGAGAGCCGGCCCGTTCGGGTGTGTGGAATCCAGGCAGCCAGTGTTTCCCGGACAAGAGACTGTGGCCGCGGGAAGCAGAGGAGGCCGAGTGGGGGTGAAGAAGGGTGAGGGGTGGGAAAGCATATATCGCAAATTACCGGTTGTTTTGTCTCCCTCCGATAGGAGTCCAAGATGGTGGATCCGTGCTGCGTTAGCTGGTAGGAGACCTCTGCATGAATCTCTCCTCACTCTCCATTCTCTGTCAGTTTTCTCACTCCATTTGGTACTTGGCTGAGTTCTTTATCTCTTCATTTGATGTTTTAGGGTTTCAGGATTGTTGTTTTCTCTGTTCAGCTTAGTTTTTCAGATCTTTGCTGTGGACGGACAGCGTGGTGCTTCTGCCTAGAGTGCCATTTTGCCGGAAGAACACTATTAATTCTTGTGTTGTCTTCTTAAAGTCTTGCCATAAACAACCCCTTTTGGTGACCCATGTGTTTCAGAGTAGAACTGCTCCATAGGGTTTTCTTGGCTGTAATCTTTACAGAAGTAGATCTGCAGGCCTTTCTCCTGTGGAGTCACTAGATGGATTTGAACCACCAACCTTTCAGTTAGCAGCTGGGAAAGCAGTTATTCATGTTCTCTTAACCCTTGAAAAATGTGGTTTTATCACCACATGTTTCTACTTGGACGTACTGCACATCTTGCTAGCTTTTCCACTGGATGGTCTCAGCTCTGACCTCCAGCCCGGACCTTTCTCCTAGATCCAGCCTCAGATCCCCAACTGCCAGTTGAATATTTTCATCTGGATCTCCTGCCAACCTCGGCATGCCTGAAAGAAACTTCAATTCTACTACCCTATCCCTTCCCCTGGAGTCCTTGGATGGTGCAAATGGTTAACAGGCTCATCTGCTAACAGAAAGTTTGGCAGTTCAAGTCTACCCAAAGGTGCCATGGAAGAAAGGCCTGGCAAGCTACTTCCAAAAAATTGAGCCATTGAAAACTCTGGAGCACAGCTTTACTCTGACATACATGGGCTCACCATGAATCAGAACTGACTGAACAGCAACTGGCACTCCTTTACGCAAATAAATCAATATCTTAAATCCCTATTTCTGCCAGATGCAATGATAGATATGCTGGAGTGATATTTGACTCTATGCTCCACCCCTTATAGGAGAACTGATGCCATATGTCCATCATATTTCCCCTTTGCATTCCTTTCTAGTTCCACAGGAACCAGACTGGGGTAAAATTATCTCATACTTGGACCATTATTTCATCCTCTTAACCTGCTCTCCTATTCCCCACCCCCAACCCATAGTTCTCCCCTCCAAATCAGCAAATGCACTAGATTAATCTTTTTAAATAATACTTTAATGTGATCACTGTTCCGCTCACAAAAGCCTTCACTGTCTCCACAATGCCCAGAAAATAAGATCCAACCTCCTCAACGAGGCTTCTAAGATCCTCTGTAATATCTTTGTACCTACCAACTCAGCCTCATTTACTATTTACAACTATTTTACAACTATTTTGCAACATTAGCTGTTCAACCCAGGCTATTCTCTTTGCCGTCCTCTAAACATACTATCTTCACTCGGGCTGCTGAACTTTTTCTTCCAGTAGGACCCAAAGTTCTGCCTTCCAGGTACCTTATTCTTATCCATCTATTATGGATTGAATTGTGTCCCCAAAAAAGATATGTTGAAGCCCTAACCACTGCACCAGTGAATGTGACCTTGTTTGGGGAAATAGGGTTTTTCTTTGCAGATGTTATTAGTTAACAAGGTCTTACTGGAGTAGAATGGGACCTAATCCTAATCCTATGTTTTATAAAGAGGAGAACAGATATGGAAACAGAGTCACACAGGGGGAACACACCATGTGAGGATCCATCTATAAGCCAAGGAATGCCAAGAAATGCCTGGGCTACAGAAGCTGACATAAGGAAGGATCTTTCCCTAGAGCTGACAGAGAGAGAAACAGAGAGAGCACAAGTGCATATACAGGCATGAGAACACCCTGCTGATGCCCTGAATTTAAACTTGTAGCTTCCAGAGCTAAAATAGAGGGTCAGCGAAAAAGAGGAAGACTCCCAACGAAGACAGATTGACACAGTGGCTGCAACATGGGTTCAAACATAGTAACAATTTTCATTCTGTTATACACAGGATCTCTATGAGTCAGAACTGACTTGTTAGGCAGCCCTAAGAATCTAAGACACCATCCACCAAGACCAGACAAAAGTTCCAGCTCGACCACGAAGCCCTCTGCCTCTCCCAGCTCACACCAGCTCTTTTCCTTCCCTGAACACCATCTGCAGATCTTGTTTACATCATGTCTTGGCATGGCTCACATCATTAACCATGTATTTCAAGTAAGATACCAATGCCCAGAACCGTTCTTTTTCTTCCTTGGATCCCAGCCACCCCCGCCCCCGCCCCCACCACCACCACCTTTGCACAGAACCAAGGGCAAAAAAAACCCTGATGAATCACAGTCAATCAGAAAATGGGGGAGAAAGAGGAAGTCAAGGAAGGGGAAGAGAAATAATTCTATCTTTTCTCTTGGATGTGTGGGTGTGCTGTTTGCTTTTGCTATTTCCTGGATTTATAGCCTCTTCATACTGAAAGGGCCTGAAAAATCATTGGCTCTAATCTTATTTTATAGAGAAGGAAAATGTCCCATCAGTGGCCTCTCCTCCATAAAACCCCGCTGGATAGGCTCCTCTACCGGGAAGCCTCCTCTGAATTACCCACACAGCTGGGCCCCTCCATTACTATTCCCCCACAGTTTCTGAGAGATACCAGGGCAGCCTGAAGTGGCTTCATCTTCCTCATCACTGGCACCTGCACCACTTCATTGCCCCAATTCCATCTGCTCAGGTAGCCACACGCTGTCTATACATGCTATCTTCACACATCTGGACCAACAAATGTTCCCCTGGGCACTACTTCAAAATTGATAATTAGTTGGCCACCATCTTCTGGGGCTGGGCCAATGGGCCTGCCCTTCCATTTCTTGTTAAACGTTCTTCCACAGTTCACATGGAACTATTCAGGTTAGCCTGTGTAACATAAAAAAAAGAGCCCTAGACTAGACATCACACTTTTTAGGTTGTATTTCCACCCAGGCTAATTTCTAGCTGGTGTGATTTACCTCTCTGAGGTCTCAGTTTCCTCCTCTGATAAATGGGGACAATATGATGCTGACATTAGAGGTCTGTTAAAAACTAGAAATAGCATACTTAACCCAGAAAAGATAATCAAAAGGGTTAATGTTATTTACCAACTGTGTGACCTTTAGGATGTCACTAAACCTCTTCGTTCCTCAGTTTCCTCATTTTTTGAAGTAGAAATAATATAACACTTGAAGAGCTATGTGAGCATTAAATAAGATGATGTACGTACTGTACTTGGATGGTGCCTAAATCATGGTAAGTGCTCAGTTGTTGGTAAGGAAAAGATCCCTGCCCATCTTACATCACAGGGTTGTGCTCCAAACTAAATGTAAAGCAATATTTCCCAAAAGTCGCAGATCAATTTAGTGGAATGCTTCAAGCAAATCTATATCTATACCTATCTCTATTTTGGGTCATGATATAAAGTGTTATTTCTAACTGTGAGGCACAATTAAATAAGTTTGAAAGACACTGGATGAAAGCCCTCTACAAATAAAAATAAAATAGCCCACGAAAACCACACGTAGACGGCTAAATCAGAAACCAGAACCAGTTGTCACTGAGTTGATTCCGACTCATGGTGATCCCATGTTTGTCCGAGTAGACATGTGCTCCATAGAATTTTCAATGGCTGATTTTTTGGAAGTAGATTGCCAGGCTTTTCTTCCCAGGCACCTCTTGGTGGACTCGAACCTCCAACCTTTTGGTTGGCAGCTGAGCACATTAACCATTTGTACCACCTAGGGGCTATTTCTGTTGTTGTTGTTGTTCTCATTTATTCGTCACAACAATTCTGTGGAATAGGAACTTTAGTTTTCTTTTTTTTAATTGTATTTTAAATGCAGGTTTATAGAGCAAACTAGTTTCTCATTAAACAACTAATATGCATAATGTTTTGTGATATTGGTTACCAACCCCATGACATGTCAACATTCTCCCCTCTCAACCTTGGGTTCCCTATTACCAGCTTTCCTGTCCCCTCCTGCCTTCGCATCCTTCCCCTGAGCTGGTGTGCCTATTTAATCTTGTTTTGTTTTATGGGCCTATCTAATCTTTGGCTGAAGCGTGAACCTTAGGAGTGACTTCATTACTGAGCTATAAGGGTGTCTGGGGGCCATACTCTCAGGGTTTTTCCAGTCTCTGTCAGAACAGTAAGTCTAGTCTTTTTTTTTTTTTTTGGTGAGTTAGAATTTTGTTCTACATCTTTCTCCAGCTCTGTCTGGGAACCTAGGGGCTGTTTTAAGAACAATGTCATCTTCCATCGTCTCTGGAACTTGGTTTTGCCTTGACACTGCAGTCTTGCTAATGCTTCCTTAATTCGTCTTACATCTAACTTGGAACAAAGCCCACTTGTTCTGCACTAATTACAGTAAAGAGAAAGGACTCCCTTGAATGTAGGCCTAAATTCATCAAGCCCATGCCAAGGTCTACTGTGTGTCTTTCTGCATCAAATGGAACATTCTGAACACCTTGAGGAAAAAGGAGTTGTTTCTGATTTTGAAAGCCCTTTCAGCTGGTAACTTTGTCTTGCACTTTGCAGTGATTCCGTCACCCACATTGTGGCAGAAAACAACTCTGCTTCTGATGTTCTGGACTGGCTTCAGGTACAGAAAATAAAAGCCAGCTCACAGCTAGAACTCCTCGATGTCTCCTGGCTGATAGAATGCATAGGAGCAGGAAAACCAGTGGAGATAACAGGAAAACACCAGCTTGTTGTAAGTGTCATGGTTGTGATTGTCATTGCCCTTTGCTTGGTGGTTAAGAACACTGGCTTTAGAATCACACCAGTAGAAACCAACCGCCTCTGAATCGATTCTGACTCACGGTGACCCTATGTGTGTCAGAGTAGAACCGTGCTCCACAAGGTTTTCAATGGTTGATTTTTTGGAATTAGATTGCCAGGGCTTCCTTCTGAAGTGCCTTTATGTGGACCTCAAACCTCCAACCCTTTGGTTAGTAGCTGAGAGCATTAATTGTTGGCACCATCCAGGGACTCCCAGAATCACACAGACCTGGGTTAAACCCCAGATTCTCTGCTCAATCTCAGTGTGACCTCGGGCTAATCACTTAGTTTTTCTGAGCTTCAGTTTTCTCTTCTGTATTATGAGATAACAATAGTGCCTACTGCCTAAGACAGCTATGAGAATTAGAAAGACACACCTGTAAAGCATTTAACACTGTGCCTAGTATACAGAAGGCGCTGAGTAATGGTGGCTATAAGGTTTACACACAAGTATTTCAAAATACCCAAGTTTTGATGTTCTGGCAGCAGGAAAAGAAGATTCCTATTTCTTTTTCTTATTACGATAATTCAGAAAGAAAAAAAAAGAATATTAATCTCTTAATTCTAAATCCTTGACCTATAGTGCTGGAACCTCAGGAAGGAAGAGGGTTCGGACCGTAACTATATAAATTCACAGAAAATAAAAATGATATTTAATTGATGGCTCTCTTTCACGTTTTTATTTCTGATTGCAAAAATAATACACGTTAGTTATAGCAAATTCACACATTTAGTGATATAAATAACATAACATTTGAGTGTCCCCGTAATTTTATTCTCCTTCCAAAGACAACTGCCATCATTGCCTCCAATATTTTTCTTTATCCATATCTGTTGTTATTAATAATTATTATTTAAAAATGAGTGCTTATGCATTTGTTTAGGTGACAGAAGACTATTCAGCCAGCCTCAGTCCAAGTCCTCAGAAGACTCCGCCACCTGCCGTAAAGATCTCACAATATGCGTGTCAGAGAAGAACCACTTTAAACAACCATAACCACATATTCACGGTAATGGGACTTTGCAGCAACACCCAGAGCAAATGAATGGCTTGCAGCTTCTTTCTATTTATCTACAAATTAAATTAAATTAAATTTGGGGAAGTTTTCCCCACACACACTCACCCACGCACCTATCCTGATCTCTGGTGCTCCTTGCTGTCAAGAATAGGTCCCCTTCTTTCATGGAAATGGAGAAATACATTTGGATTATATTCTTTTTTTAATTTTATTATATTTTAATGTGTTTTTGGTGAATTTTTACACAGCAAATCAGGTTCCCATTTAATAATTTTTATAAACATTATTCAGTGACATTAGTTACATTTTTTACAATGTCTCCACTTTCTCGTTATTTCCACTCTGGTTGTTCCATTTCTATAAATCTAGCTTCCCTGCCTGCCCCCTTTACTTTCTCGTCTTTGCTTTAGGGTAAATGTTGACCGTTTGGTCTCATATAGATAATTTGTGAAAGAAGCACAGTACTCACAGGTGATATTGTTTATTTATGCACCAATCTGTTATTTAGTTGAAAGGTGACCTCCGGGTGTGGTTTCAGTACGTAGTTCAAAGCGTATCTTACGGCGATAGTCTCAGGGTTCCTCTAGTCTCTACCGATCTAGTTTAAATCTGATCTTTCTTAAGAATTTGAGTTTTGTTTTACATTTTTCTCCCTTTCTATCCAGGACCACCTATTGTGTCCCTGGTCTGGATTATATTCTTTAGAGACAGTAAATTACTATTAATATTGATTGAGCATTGGTAATGGGTACAACACTTCTCAAAGGCAAATATTCTGGAAAACCAAATACTCTTATTAGTCCAATACGTGTTGTTGTTGTTAGGTGTTGCTGACTCTATTCTGACACACAGTGACCCCATGTCCAACAAAACAAAACACTGCCTGGTCCTGCGCTATCTCACAAATAGTTGCTATGCTTGAGCCCATTTAGCCACTGTGTCAATCCTTCTCGTTGAGGGTCTTCCTCTTTTTTGATGACCATCTACTTTACCAAGCATGATGTCCTTCTCCAGGGACTGGTCCCTCCTGATAACATGTCCAAAGTACTTGAGACGAAGTCTCACCATCCTTGCTTCTAAGGAGCATGCTGGCTGTAATTGTTCCAAGACAGATTTGTTTGTTCTTCTGGCAGTCCGTGGTACATTCAATATTCTTGGCCAACATAATTCAAAGGCATCAATTCTTCTTTGGTCTTCCTTAGGTTAAGCACATAGTAAGAGCAAATTACGTAAAAGTAGCAATAATGCATAGGCAGCCTTTTTTGGGAAACCGAAAAACAGAGAAGAGTCAGCAGACCTGAACTCTAACCTCAGCCTAATAAACTAGATCAGGCAAGTCAGTCTTGCTCTCTCAGCCTCAGTTTCTTCATCTCTTCAATAAGAAATTAGCTTGTTGCAGTTAGGTTCTGTGGAGTCATTTTCAACTCATAGTGATCCCATCTGACAGACTAGAACTGCCCTATAGGGTTTTCTTATACATCGCCAGCAAGAACTTTGTCCCAGAAAGCCATTGGGTGGGTTTGAACCACCAACCTTCCAGTTAGCAGCTGAGCACTTAACTGTTACACCACCAGCTAGATCCTCTCTAAAGCCTTATCCACCTGTGAAGTTTGGCAACTCTGTTTAAATGACCCTAATAAGCCCACAACTGCTTGTCTTCTAGCCTAGAGTCAATAGTCAGCAGGATAAAACATACAGTGGTTTAAGCCCTCAGCAGCTAAAGGAAAGATCAACAGTTCAAACCCCCTAAGGGCCACTTGGAGGGAAAAAGATGTGGCAGTCTGCTCCAGTAAACATTACAGCTTTGGAAACGCTCTGAGAGAGTTCTGCTCTGCCCTGTGGGGTCCCTACCAGTCGGAATCGACTTGACAGCACCAGGTTTTTTGCACTAAATGCAAAGCTTCTCATTTCTAGACTTCCAGCCCCACTTCTGCAAGGAAACTACAGCTATTAGGCATGATCAGCTTGAAGTCACACAAGTGCGGTTACTTTCCCCTTTGCTGGAAATGTAAACATGCCCCACCTTAAATAACCCTGGCCTTGGGACATTTGACCTAAGATTATATCCATTCACTCAGCAAGCCCATGTTAAGTGCTGTGTTTTGTGCATTTGCTAAGAGATAGGGATGTCTAGTCATTAAGACAGAATTCTAGCCACAGAGTGGTGGGGAAGACAGCAAGCAAGTATTGAGTTTTAGGGTGTGGTGAGTACAAGATCACTTTTTGATATTCTTAAATATCTGTTATTGTTGTGTGCAGTCAACGGATTCTCACTGTTAGCAACACATTGTGACAGAGTAGAACTGCCCCAGAGGGTTTCCCAAGTTGTAATCTTTACGGGAGTCACCAAGTCTTTTCTCTCACAAAGAGGCTGGTGGGTTCGAACTGTGGACCTTTCGGTTAGCAGCAGATCGCTTAACCAGAGTGTCACCAGGACCCCTTCTGGAATATCTAATGGCAGCAAACTCTAACTCTGGCGCCTGTTTTTCCAGTTCAACTCCACCTGAACCAGCAAACATTAACTAGGTGGCCCTTTGCTCCAGACACAAAGCCATGGGCGACCCAGTCCTGACCTTTAAGGAGACAGTCTGGCAGCACCAATACTTAAAGGAGAGCAAGAAGGCATTTATGAGTGAGTCCTGACTTGGGAGATGATAGAAAATAGACCATATTTTGCTCACTTGATTTTATTCCTCAGGATGCCTTTGAGATACTGGCTGAAAATTGTGAGTTTAGAGAAAATGAAGGGTCTTATGTGGTATTTATGAGAGCGGCTTCTGTGCTGAAATCTCTTCCGTTCACAATTATCAGTATGAAGGACACAGAAGGAATTCCCTGCCTGGTGGACAGGACAAAGTGTGTCATAGAGGTAAGGGTGAAATGTGATTTGTCCCACCTCCTATGATTTCTTTCATAAGCTAAAATTGATACTGAGAGAGAGAGGGAGAGATGCATCTAATAGATTTTCCCATCAACTACTTAGATGCGGTATTCGTGACTTCTTTTCCTTTATCTAGACATGCGTATGTATGGGTAGAGATAGAGATATAGAGATATGTGTGTGAGTGCACATATTTGTATAATCCACACCTAGTATGATCACAGATAGAGTCTGTGGGGTCAGTTAGTGGAAAAAGAACTCTCACATATTATTACTAATCACGATGAAAGACCCAAATGACCTAAAATCTCAACAGATGGGGAACAGTCTGACGTCAAACAGTCTGTGCATAGGGCCCTAGCTCCACTCAGGGGACGTCACCCTCCAGAACAGTGACAGATATGACATGCTGTGGAGCTGCTGTTTAAAGATCCCCTCAGCAAGGCCTATCCAATAGTAAGTTTCCGGATAGTCAACTAAAAGGTAAATTATTCAAGGAAAACCGTTCCAACTCTACTTAGAAGGGGGTGGCTCTGAGCTAGCCATTATAAGCGCTTGAACTTGGATTAGCTTCCTGGTGGGTCCAAAATTATCCTGCTCAAATAAAAAGCCCTCTTGTTTTAGCAAGTTCATATCCATTGAAAAGAAAATTATCACAAATATTTAAACATACAATCGTCAGTGATTATTTTGGCTTGGTATTCTGTAGATTTGGACCCAATTCCTACAGCATCTTTGTCCCCGAGCATTGTAAAAGGGTACTTAGATATATGAAGCTTGAATTTTCAGAATTAGATGGAAACGTCTTGTGTTCTCTGAATGGCTAGAAAAACATCCTGCTTGAATGGGGGTGTGTTTCATGAAAAATCAAGCTACCAGATCTGTGAATTTGAGAGTCTCAGACTGATTGTCTACCATCACTAATTTAAAATATTTTTCAACTATCCACAAAGGATATTATTGAAGATGGAGAAAGTTCTGAAGTTAAAGCTGTGCTAAATGATGAACGATATAAATGCTTCAAAGTAAGTGATTTTAGTATATTTATCTAAGATGGCTTTTCAGTTCATCATATAACTTATTCCGGGTGGTCTAGGCAGCAGGTGGCTAAATGAATATGGGTGCCCTAGCTTATTGCCATGCTACCTGGAGATACAAATCATCTTACTTTCCAGGAGTCTGTTACCCTTGGGTACAAATATCATGGAGACACAAGGACCATGGGGACAGGCCAAGCCTGCTCATAAAAAGCAAACCTGTGTCTGGAAAGCTCTTCACTGCATCCTCTTCTACTTGAAGCCGGATTTGTTACCTCCCAATTTTCCCTACCTTAGAGTTGCAGGTGGCAGCAACCTCTGCAAAGCCCTCCCACACGCCCAGCTCATTCCTTCAACCAAGACAGCTTTTGGCTTCTGAGCCCCATCCCGCAACCCTGAGCCTTGGATCAGAAGTGTTATGCATAAGCCTAAAATATGGTCATGGGTAGGCGCCCAGGCTTGGAGTACAGACAGACCAAGGTTAGAGTCCAGGTTCTGTTACTTGTGGAGCCCTGGTGGTGTAGTGGTTAAGAGCTTGACTGCTAACCAAAAGGTTGGCAGTTTGAATCCACCAACAGCTCCTGGGAAACCCTATGGGGCAGTTCTACTCTGTCCTATAGGGTCACTTTGAGTTGGAATCAACTTGATGGCAAAGAGTTTGGTTTTTTTTTTGGTCTGTCAGTTGCCAGCTATATGATGATGGAGAACTTATATTACATGAGCTTTCCTCTGTAACATGTGAGAGTAAATATGCATAGCACGCTTGTGTGTAAGAGACTCTTGCAAAGGGATGTGCCCAGCAGGGATAGCTGTCATCACTTATTGACAATACAGGCAATCCCACGATCAGATTATGCCAGAACCTGCTTCCTCAACTGTTTCATTTAGTAATGCTATGTGTCAGGAAAGGACCTTGAAACAAAATTGTCTCCAATAAATTACTATCACCCATCTACACGTCCTATTCAGGAGAAATTGGGTCAGAGGTTTACTTACGCACTTTCTGAACTGCTTGAGACCTTAAAATGTACCACTTCATTGACATAATGATTATTTTAGAAACTAATGGCATATCTTTTCCTCCATTTTAGCTCTTCACTTCTGTATTTGGAGTGGGATTAAAGACATCTGAGAAATGGTTCAGGATGGGTTTCAAAACTCTGAGTAAAATAAGGACAGACAAAACCCTGAAATTTACACAAATGCAGGAAGCAGGTAAATTGTCTTTCCTGAAAAATCTCATGTGGTTACTATGGGCTGGCCAGGTTGTGGCAGAGATCTGAAAAGTCACCTGTACTTTCACTCAAATCTGGGTGAGCTGGGATACCTCTTTTGCTTTCTTTGATGCTTGTGGTTAAAAGCATAAGCTTTCAGAATCTGGCAGACCTGGATTCAAGTCCAGCCTCCAGCACTTTCTAGTAGTGTGACTGTGAGCAAGTTAAAGTCTTTGAGCCTTAGTTTCCTCATCTATGAAAGGGAGATTATATTGAGGAATAAATCAGATACTGTAGGCAAATTCCTTAGTACCATGCCTGCACAGAGCAAAGGTGCTCTGGTGGGTGGTGATGTCATTACTCCTTTATCCAGATGCCATATTAGGTTGTGCTGCTGATCTGGTTCTTAGTGAATGATTCTTCTAGATGTTTGGTCCCAGCTGTCTCCTTTGGTAAGAGACATGGGTGTGAGTCAAGGACAGAAAGTCAGCATGGAGGACTGAAGAATAAAGAATACTCGAACAAACTAGAGTTGTTGCTTGGCACAAATGTCAATATGCTTTAGAGACTGTAGAACACCAGGAAAATATAAAGTGAATGCTGAAATCTAGGCATGGGGTTGGCCTACCTGACCAGGACTTTTTAGCCTGAGAAGAGAAGCCTGTGCTCACCCACCTGAAGCTCTGGAGGACCCCTTAGAGTTGAAGGTCATTTCTATTTTTTCAGGGTCCTAGTATATTTTTTTAAAATGAAGATGTACACCAATGTTCGTTACAGTATTATTCACAATAGCCAAAGGTAAAAATAATCTGTCTTAGGTTGGGTTCTCTAGAGGAGCAAAACCAGTGAAATGTATATATGTAAATACAGAGCGAGAGATTTAGTTCAAGGAGATGGCTCATGTAGTTGTGGAGGCTGGCAAGTCCCAAAATCCATGAGTCAGGCATCAGGCTGGAGGCTTTTCCTGACTCACATGGTTGTAAGGGCTGATGAACCCAAAATTGACAGGTCAGATGGCAGGCTGCTGGCTCACTTCCCAAGAACCAAAGGTCAGATGATGGCAAGTCAGATGAAGGATTCAGAGAGAGCTTTGCCAGAACATCCATATATTCTGGATGCGGGCCACATTCCCAAGGAAACTGATTGGCTTTCAACTGATTGGCCTTTTAACTGATTGGCTGCTCATATCAGATCACAAAATGGAGGATGATTACATAATATCTGCCAAACCACTGAGAATCATGGCCTAGGCAAGTTGACACATAACCTTAACCATCACACAAACCAAATGTCCATCAACACATGAATAGATAAACAAAATATGATATGTCCATACAATTCAATATTGTTGTTGTTGCTCAGTGCTCTCGAGTGGATTCTAAAGCATAGTGACCCCACATGACAGAGTAGAACTGCCCCACAGAGTTTTCTTGACAGTAATCTTTATGGAAGCAGATTGCCGGGTCTTTTTCCCACTGAGCTGCTGGATGGGTTTGAACCACCAACCTTTCAGTTAGCAACCAAGTAGTTAACCATTGTGCCATCGGGACTCCTTAATGGAATATTACTCAGTCATAAAAAAGAATGAAGTTCTGATACATGCTATGACATAGATTATGATGTTAAGTGAAATGATCCATTGTGAGTAATGCTGCTGTGAACTCTGGTGTACATAAATGGTTGCTTTACAATACAATTGTAATTCAAAAGAGAATTGCAGTCACAGTCCTGAGAACTATGGCTTCTGGAGTTACAGGAATTGATAAAGTCACCAAACTTTTTAATGATATGAAAATAAGGGAATCTCCTACAAGAGGAAACCAGAAAGAAAGAAAACAGCTATTTGCTGTTTAAATGATCCCCAAATCAAGCAACTATAGAGGAAGCAAATCAACTTGGTGAGTCACATCAGTGATATTATAGAAGACCCCTACTCATCTTTTGTAAAGATGCTAACCTGTGAAAGATTGTTAATAAGCTTCATACTGTGCCACATAGGAAACAAAAGAGTATAAGAAAAAAAGACCCAGTGTTTACATTATGGGCTCTGAAACTGCACAATTAATAAGCATGACTTATACTAACTTTAGAGATGCCATTAAAAATAGATTTACATAAGTATTAAATGTAAGTATCAAGTAAATGGTTTAGAATCAGAGTAAGGACTCTCAATACTTAGAAATTGGGAGGCAGTATAGTGTTTCGCTTAGATGAAAACCCTTATTAGATGACATCAGGTGCTCTCAGGATCTAAGGAGCTCCCACTTCCCCAGCTTTGTAAACTGGATTTTTCCCATCCTACTGTGCTCTCCCAACCCAGTGAATGAAGTAGGTGTCATTCATGTAAGCAGTCAGTGATTGCTACCAGACCTTTTAATGGGGTTAGTTTTATGTAGAACTCAAGGGATATTTTCCCATCTGTGATGGTTAATGTTGTGTGTCTGCTTGGCTGGGCCTTGATTCTCAGTGGTTTGGCAGTTATGTAATGATGTAATTTGGCAGTTATGTGATGATATAGTCATCCTCCATGATGTGATCTGATGTTATCAGCCAATCAGTTGTAAGGGGAGTTTCCTCAGGGGTGTGGCCTGCATCCAATAGATATATATGGACGTTCTGGCAAAGCTTGCTTGCTTGCTGTGGATCCTGCATCTGGCTCATCATCATCTGACCTCCAGTTCTTTGGATTTGAGTAAGTGTCCTGCTGTACTGCTTGCTGACCTTGGGACTCTTTAGCCTCTACAGCCCATGAGCCAGTAGCCTGCTGTCTGACCTGCCATTCTTGGGTTTGTCAGTCTCTGCAGCCACATGAGTCAGGAGAAGCCTCCAGCCTGACACCTGACCCATGGACTTGGGACTTGCCAGCCTTTACAACTGTGTAATCCATTTCCTTGAGACAAATCACTCTCTCTATATATACGTACGCTTTACTGGTTTTGCTTCTCTAGAGAACCCAACCTAAGACACCATCATACTTATTATAGTCCAAAAAACTGGCTGTATGCATCCGTTGTAGCAGGACTACAATTAATGGAATTGTCAATGGGAATAGCTTAGAATACAGCAAAAGGTAAGCTAATTGAACACATTGGAAGTATGATCCACAGACTGGATGGAAAAGTTGATTCAGTATGACTTATAATTGCGCTGGATTGTAGCTTCATGAGGCTTGAGCATTGATCATGCCATATTGGTCTTGAAAAGTCAATTTTTGATATATAGCAGCATACATATAACATTATGCAGTGTGATAAGTTTCTCATAAAAAGTTAAACCCCCATACCAAAAAAGAATGCCAATTAAGTTGTTTTCACGGTGTCAACAAATTATTATAGGACCTCTCTATTCATTTCTGATATCTTCTTAAAGAAATAGTTGACAACCATGCCTTTTGTTTCTATAACTACACATACATCACTGAATATGTTTGATTGCTGCCAAATGAGTTGCACTTTGAATATCAGTCATGATGGCAATTTTTATGTAAAAAGAGCTTAACGAAACATTGCTTTTTATATCAAAATTTCAGCATTACAAAAATGGTCATGTTGCAATAAAAATTGATTTATACAAGAAAAAGAAAGTAGAAAGTTTTAGGATTTATAAAAAGAAAAAAGGTGTTCTACAAGTCTTGTGGTTTGGTATTGGACACAAGTTTATAGATGTATGAACATCTTCTCTTGGTCTTGCCAACACATTTCTGCAACTATCCTAACTTAGAGATGGCATGGGAACTTTGAATTTGAAAACTTGTGAACATGGTGTTCAAGCCAAAGGGCTTCCCTGTCCCCTGAATCCCCTCGCTCCCAGGATCCTGGTGGTAGGAGAGGAAGGACCAATAGATTTGCTCTGTGTCATTCCGGAGACCTGAACCAGGGTCAGTGATGGATGCAACTCTGAGGAAGTAGACTTAAGCTCCTCAAAAGAAAGAACTGCCCAAACAGAGTTTACAATTAGGAAATGGGCTGCCTCCAGAGATATCAGAGTCCCCATTTGTTAGAAAGATTTAAGCAGAGTTTGAATGACACTTTCTTGGGGATCCTAGCTAAGAGCAGTGGCTCATATTGAAGGATAGGGCCCTGTGACTCTTCCTTGAAAATCCTAAACTGTCCCTAAGGCCCTATGAATGTCCCCACATCCCTGCTCACCTCTCTTCCAATTCTTCATCCCAATTCTTGGAGATATGACCCCCCCCCATCTCCTTTCCTCTCACCTCCAACACACCCTCCATAGGTCTGTGGGAATAGCCAAGTCATTAGCTCTTCATCATAATGACTCTGTCCCAGTTTTCATTTATCTGTGGTGGTCAGACAATGAAGCACCAAGGCAAGCCACCTAAGATGTTGTCTCCCTCAACTCAGACACAAATCCTCTTCCTATTCTTGACTTTAATTTTTAAATTGATTCATTGCCTTCCAACTTTAAGCCTTCCCATCCCAAATCCTTATGCATTATCTTTTTTAAATGATAGGAAAACAGTTTATTGATCAAGAAGTCTGGTTCTACAGTTGGGAAATCAGATTTGAACCATTTGGTTTCCAGAGGGATATAAAATATTGCCTCCTTCTTAATCAGGAATATTGTAAGCCCCTCTGTCAAAAAGCAAAGAATCATTGTTACTGTGAAAAATTCATGAACCAAATGGACAGCATGGATTATTCTGTCTCTATGGAAACAAAGTTCGATGTTAATGCCTGTGATCATGTTAGCTCTATTTGGAGGGCAGAATTTCCAGCCAATGAGGGCTGGTTATTTAACTCTTTCCACTGACCTGTCAAATGGCCTCTCAGGATTCCTCTACTATGAAGACCTTGTCAGCTGTGTGACCAAGGCTGAAGCAGATGCGGTCAGCGTGCTGGTTCAAGAGGCAGTGTGGGCGTTTCTGCCGAATGCCTTTGTCACCATGACAGGAGGGTTCCGGAGGTAAATAACGAAGACTACTTTTGCCTCTCCTGCTTTAACTGCTTCAGTGGGTCCAGTCTCCTACTGGCTTTTGACCATTGCACAAAAGGCGTTTTGTGATCTGGCACGGACCTCTTTCTGCAGCCTTGTTTCCTGCTCCTCCATTCTCATTTCAGCAACCACAAAGGACTTGTCATTCCCCCACACACCAGGCTGTTTCTTGCCCCTTTGACTTTGCTTACTCAAGCCCTTCTGGTTGTACTGCCTTTCCTCAAATTTTCCCCTGGCTAGCTTCTCACCCTCTATGACTCAATTCAAATATCACCTCCTCCAGAAAGCCTTTCTTGACTTTCTCGTCCTCTATGGTGGGTCAAGCACCCCTCCTGCATGCTCCCTTGACCCCTGTCAATCACTTGTTACACATCATGATGGATATCTGTTGTACGTGTGTTTTACCTACTAAGGTTTTAGAGCTTAGTGCTCAGTGCAAGTCAGCTTAGTGCTTGGTGCGTGGCACAAAGAAGATGCTCAAGAAATGTTGGTTGAGTCAATGAATGAATGAATGAGCTCCTAGCAGAGATAATGTGTAGTTGTTGGATATTAAAATTTCCGATTCACAAAGGGATTCCCTCCTTCCCACCTCCTCCTCCAACTCTCCCTCTGACCCTCTTACCGGGTGGCTGAGTGGCTGTTGGCTGTCCGGCAAGCCAGGTTTGAGGTAAGGCAGGAAGTGGGAGGAGAAGATGGAATCTAAGAAAATGCCCTTAATCTATGTCATCATTTCAAGAGGTCAGCTTTGGATGTCATAGTTCTTAGCTTGCTTTTTGTCATACTTCTCTCTCTCTCAATCTCTCTCTCTCTGTGTGTGTGTGCGTGTGTGTGTGTGTGTGTGTGTAGAAGGAATAATCTTCTTTGTCATTTTTTGCCCTCATATATATAATTGTATATGTAGTATATAGGATTTTTTCCTGTGTTATAAGTTAATTTTGCAAGGAATAGAGTTATTTAGTTTAAAATAAGAACAGGATAATTTTTTAAAATTTTGTGTTGTAAACCTTAAGCATAGGGCATAGAAACACAGGTGCTTTTTAAAAATTCAGAGCTAAAAATCTAATGTATTTCCATCTTATAACTATTTTGTAATCAGGGGTAAGAAGATTGGGCATGATGTCGATTTTTTAATTACCAGCCCGGGATCAACAGAGGAGGAAGAGCAACAACTTTTACATAAAGTGGTAAACTTGTGGAAAAGGGAGGTAAGAAGAAAGATAAAAAAAAAATAGATGCTTAGACACGCACACATTATATGAACACTGTTGAAGTGTGCACACTATTTACTTCCTAATTGTGTAATGACATCTAATCAATTCATAATTATTTGCAACAGTTTATACAATGTCACATGACAAGCAATGAGACTTATCTGCTTCAGTCCAGGTACATGTTATAAATATGTGTCTTGTTTATTTATACTTACCCTCTTACCAAAGTGGTCTGGGCCGCTATGCATCTGTGTTTGACATGCAAAAGCATTAAAGCACTCAAATGCTGCAAAATGCATGATAACACACCCCAATAACTAAAATTATTTGGGGATTATTTGCTCTTGCAGTTACCACTCAGGTTTAGGAGTTAATTGCATGTTTCTGCTTCTCTCTACCCCACATCTGCCCAATGCCCTGAAGACATCTCACCCTCGGGTAGATAAATTGGATGATAACAAGCATTGCTGGGCATATCTTAGAATGACAGCTAACTTTCTGACTAGGCAACGTAAAATGCAACATGAGTCTCTAATCTTATTCCACTCTCTCTCCAAGGCAAGCAGAGTAACAATCTCTCATGAGAAAAAAACATCCCAAAATGTTACTTAGAGAGAGCAAGTCATCTGCCCAGAAGTGGGGCAGTGCCTCCAGCCACGACTCTTTGTGCCAATTAAACCCGCTCATCAGTATAATATAAAGGGACACTAATTCAAAGCAAATTCACAGAAACAGCTTGGCTTTTTGTTTTGGGTTGGTTGGCTGGCTTTAAAGTGGGTGTGGGAAGGAGCTGGGCCCTGGTGTGAGATTCAGAAGACGGGTTCCTTTGCAGCTTTGCCATTAGATGGCTTTGAGTTAGCCCCTCTAATTGCTAACTCGTGCAAAGAGAGGATAATACAACCACTTCCTTCCCTAATGATGCTAGGTGGGCCCAACGCAAGGACAAAAACATACCCACTTCTGCTCATATGTGTAAAGATTTCACTAAGAGCTTTTGCTAGGAGCTCCATGTTGAATCGCAAACGCTCTCCATGGGAGACCCATGCTGATGTCTTCCTGTTTATTTTTAGGGACTGCTTTTATACAGTGACCTTATTGAGTCCACATTTGAAAAGCTCAAGAAGCCTAGCAGCAAGGTGGATGCTTTAGATCATTTCCAGAAATGCTTTCTGATTTTAAAATTGCATCATCAGAAGGTGGACAGTGGCAAGTCCAGCCAGCTGCAAGGAAAGACCTGGAAGGCCATCCGTGTGGACCTGGTCATGTGCCCCTATGAGTGCCACGCCTTTGCCCTGCTGGGCTGGACCGGCTCCCGGGTAAGCGCTAGACAGATCAATCAGACACGTTAGCTTTCTGAAAGACATCAGTTGTGTCTACCTGAGCCCAGGGGAGAGACAATGGCAGTGAGGCCAGGGTGACAGGGAAAGGGGCAGTGCCCAGAAACCCCTAAATCAAGGCATGCCCCCACGTATGGTCAGGTGAGGCAGATTAGCCTGGAACAGTGATTCTCAGGCGTGGTGTCCACACCTGCAGCATCAGCCTCACCTGGGAACAGGTTAGAAATGGAAATCCTTGGGCATCCCTCAGACCTACTGAATCTGAACTCTTGTGGGTGGAGCCCACCAGTCTGTGTTTGCAAAAGCCCTCCCAGGGTGATTCTGATGCAGCTTAAGTGTAAAAACCACCAGTACAGAAACTAGCAGGGTAGTTAAGAGCACAGGTTTGGCTCAGTCCAGACCTGGTTACAAGTCCCTGCTGTGCCTCTTACCAGCTGGGTGATCTTGGACACACACCCCATGCCCTTTAAGACTGTTTTCCCATCAGGAAAGAGAGAGCAATAACCGTAGCTCCCTCCCTGGGTTGCCAGGGTTACGTGAGACAACCTTGGCAAGGGTCTCAGCACCACATGAGGCCCGCGGTCAGTGCTGGATAAACGGTAGCTCTGACCACTAACCAGTGGCCATGTTATATTCTAAGTACACAGAACATAACTAGCACATAGTAGGCATTCAATAAATATTTGCTGAATGAATATTACTATTCTGCAAATAAAGGACATTATCATCATCTCGAATGGTCTGCAGGAAAATGCTCCTGAGGAATCCAGAACTATGTCCCTCATCCCACAGGGGTCTGAGGAGCCAAGGGCAGCCCCTCACTGTCCCCATTCATCTCCTGCATGACCCTCTCTTCATACACAGTGTGAGCAGCCATCACCCTGCTAAGTGCTGGGGGAGGGGAGGAGGGTGGCCCAGGGCTCTGGGGCTGGGGTGGAGTACTAAGAAATACCCCAAACTTTCATAGACCTGTAGCTACTGCACCCAGAATCTGCTTCTCCCTGATTCTACCACAACCCTGGCTTCCTCTCTTCCCTATTATAAAAGACTTCTAGTTGGAAAGTCTATCTTCTCACACACCCAGGTGGTAGACAAGGGCAGTTCTCAGTCAGCTTTCCGTATACGCCTAAACCTGTGGCGGTGGAGTCAATCCCGATTCATAGTGACCCTATAGGACAGAGTAGAATTGCCCCATAGGGTTTCTAAGGCTGTAATCTTTACGGAAGCTGACTGCCATATCTTTCTCCTGCAGAGCGGCCGGTGGGTTCAAACCCTCCACTCTCTGATTAGCAGCCAAGCTCTTAAACACTGCACCACTAAGCCTTCTTCCATATAGGCCTGTTGTTGTTGCTGTTAGGTACCACCAAGTTGGTTCCGACTCACAGCAACCCTATGTACAACAGAACGAAACACTGCCTTGTCCTGCGCCATGCCTACAATCATTGTTATACTTGAGCCCATTGTTGCAGCCCCTGTGTCAATCCATCACCTTGTGGGTCTTCCTCTTTTTCGCTGACCCTCTACTTTACCAAGCATGATGTCCTTCTCCAGGCACTGGTCCCTCCTGATAACATGTCCAAAGTACGTAAGAAAAGTCTCACCATCCTCCCTTCTAAGAAGCATCCTGGCTGTACTTGTTCCAAGACAAATTTGTTCTTCTGGCAGTCCATGGTATACTAAATATTCTTCACCAACACCATAATTCAAATGCACCAATTCTTCTTTGGTCTTCCTTATTCATTGTCCAGCTTTTGTATGCATATGAGGCTATTGATAATACCATGGCTTGGGTCAGATGCACCTTATTCCTCAAAGTGATATCTTTGCTTTTTTAACACTTTAAAGTAGTCTTTTGCAGCAGATTTGCCCAATGCAATATGTTATTTAATTTCTTAACTGCTGCTTCCATGGACATTAATTGTGAATCTAAGTAAAATGAAACCCTGTTATTGGTCCAGTTGTGAGGATTTTTGTTTTCTCTATGTTGAGGTGTAATCCATACTGAATGCTGTGGTCTTTGATCTTCATCAGTAAGTGCTTCAAGTCCTCTTTCAGCAAGCAAGGTTGTGTCATCTGCATATCACAGGTTGTTAATGAATCTTGCTCCAATCCTGATGCCGTATAGTCCAGCTTCTCAGATTATTTGCTCAGCATACAGATTGAATAAGTATGGTGAAAGGATATAACCCTGATGCACACCTTTCCTGATTTTAAACTATGCAGTATCCTCTTGTTTTGTTGGAACTACTGTCTCTTGGTCTATGAACAGGTTCGGCATGAGCACATTAAGTGTTCTGGAATTCCCATTCTTCTCAACGTTGTCCATAATTTGCTATGATCCACACAGTCGAATGCCTTTACGTAGTCAGCAAAACACAGGTAAACATCTTTCTGGTATTCTCTGCTTTCAGCCAAGATCCATCTGACGTTAGCAATGATATGCCTCATTCCACATCCTCTTCCGAAGACTAGAATAGGCCTAGAATAGGAAATTATTCTTTGCCACTAAAAAACAACAAAAAACCCTCTGCCGTTGAATCAATTCTGACTCATAGCAACCCTATAGGACAGAGCAGAACTGCCCGCTAGGGTTTCCAAGACTAATTTTTAAGGAGGCAGGTGAGTTGGAACCGCCCATTTCGCTGACCTTTCGGTAGCAGCCAAGCGCTTAACCACCGAGCAACAGGCGATCCTCTCACCTCCGCTAGAGGGCGCAATGATCGCATGGCTTTCTCCTTAATTACTCAGAGAAAGAACAAAATTTCTAGATTTCCGCTTCTCGAGGAAATTACGTAGCTTGAACGGCAACTCTATTAATTGTCCCCCCTTTTCCGAAATATTTCTGTCCTCTGTTTTAGGCTTCAGGCTTTTCTGCCTGCAGCCTCAGAGCCTACCAGGATCGTGGGAGATGCCCCTATGAGAGCACGCCGCTCAGCTCATCAGCTTTACAGAATCTTGGTATGAGAGGATGTTAGAGCTGGAAAGGAACGGACCGTAGCCGTTGACCACCCATCTTCTCATCTGACCAACCATGATTCAGAGAGTCTGGTGACTTGCCGAGGCTGGACTCTCGGTCCCCTGACTCTTTATGCTCTTTTAACAATAATGATATTTTTTTTTTTAAAAAAAGCTATTATCTATTCGACATTTGCTCTGGATCAAGTATTGATCTGGAAACGTTGGGTATTATCTTTTTAAAATAATCCTCACAATATGCATTCATTCAACAAATATATGCCATTATTCGAGGTGAGAGGGGTTTATGGTTTTCAACAAAACATCCTTTCCTGTTCTCACGAAGCTTACATTCTAGTGTGCGCATGCGCGGAGGGAGGGCCTTGGTTGTAGAGACAGAAAACAGAGTAATTCCAGAAAGTGGTGAGTATCCTGAGAAGTGGCTAGCAGTGTCTGGGGGCTCTTTAGAAGAGAGCAGTCTGACCTTTGAGCAGAAACGAAAATGAAGAAAGAGCATCATTCCCAGTCGGGGGAGGAGAACATTCCAGCCAGAGGGGCCAGTAAGAGTGAAGGCTGGAGGCTGGAGCATGTTGGCAAATCTGAGGGTCTCAAAGGCCTGAATGACTACAGGGGGATAGAGAAGAAGGTGAGGTTGGAGAAGTAGGTCGGACCAGATCGGTTAGGGCTCTGTAGGCGGTTTTTGGATTTTCTTCCAAGAGTGATGGGCCTGTCTGGACAGTTTTAAGCATGGCGGCAGTATGACCTGTATTGCCTTTGTAAAAGGATTGCACTGGTTACTGTTTGAGGATGGACTGGGGGAGGCGGAAAGGCAGGGGTAGAAGCGGAGAGACAGCTTGGAGGCTATGGCAGTAGTAGACCTACAGGGGGGCCCGCCGAGCAGGAAGAAGTACTCCGCTTAGGGACTTGTTCTGGAAGTGGAGCTGACACGACATGCTGATGGATTAAATGTAGGGAGTGAGGAGAGAGGGGATCCAGAATGCCTTCTCTAAGAGACTGTTAAACTTCCTTGATAAATGGGGAAGCCAAAGTGCCTCAGGCAGCCACAGTAGTGTCAGGACTGGAAACCAGGTCTGTCAGTTGTCCAACCACTGAAGAGCGGGGGCAGTCGGCTTGCAGTTGGACCTGGGGAAGCTCCCCAAAAGGAGAGAGCTGGTAGAGCCTGGGTAGTGGGCATGGTGGAGAACGATCACGGATCTGCAACAGAGGCAAGTGTAAAAACGCCTGTAGACCACCCTCACCCCAGCTCCCACCCCACCTTTGCCTCGGTGGGCTGGACTTCACACCAAGTAGGCATGCAAGTTCCCAGCTGGCCAAAAGAGGAGCTGAGAAACACGAGGACACATGGAGGACCTCTTTTCTTACCTTGGCAAGTCTCTCTTCGACCTCCGAGCTGATATCCGAACCAGTTATGAAGGAGCTTGGCCCACTGTGCAGGTCAGAGGCAGAGAGAGCGTGTGCCGTGATGGGCATTTGGCCATCCCGAAGAGCAAAAGCCCAACCGCGTGACCGAATGGAGGAGAGTCTTCCTGTGTGCTCATGTGTTGGGGAACATGTAAGTGCTGAAGGAAGCCCCCCGAGTGTGTCTTATGATTCAAAAGCTGAAGCCCTTGGCTCAGCAGTAAAACCTAATTAAAAGGACCTGTGCTGGGAGACTTACTGTGTCTGCCAGAAGTAAGTGTGGCCCGAATTAAAGGGAGACTCTTCCTACTCCGAAAAGGGAAGTTTCTACCAGGGTTCTAAGACATGGCTTCAGCCAAGAGCCTGAGAGGGCCAAGGAACTCATTCCTTTCTTTTATCCATAGCCCTGCCCCCAATAGCTGGCTGACCCAGGGATTGACGTGGACAAAAGCCAGAGAATAATCAAAAAAAAAAAAAAAGGATTCCAATGAAATGTATTACCAGATGCAGGTTGAGGGGCTCCATTTGGTAAGGTTTAAGAATGATGACCCCTAGATTACTAGGGAGAATTTTTAAAGCAAAAAAAAAAAAAAAAATAGAGACCATAAGTGAGAGAAAAGACTAGGCAAAGTAAAGATTGAACTTTCTTGTACCTTGTCTATCTCATATATGACTCTTTGCCCCTTTGGGGATGTGAAAACCTTCATTCACTCAGCAAAGATTTGTTGAACACTTACTCTGCCCCTGGCATTGTGCAAGGAGTGGGTATAGAGGAAAGCAAGCAAACATGAGCTCTGTCATCATAGAGCTTTGCCCTGGGGGATAATATCACTTTGTGAATGTTTAGTGGAGATAGATATTTACTGTAGTGATTTAGCTTTCATTAAACACGCAATAAGGAGCCCTGGTGGCACAGTGGTTAAGTACTTGGCTACTAACCAAAAGGTCAGTGGTTCGAACCCAACAGCAGCTTCGTGGAAGAAAAGACCTGGCGATCTGTGCCCTTTGGGGCAGTTCTACTCTGTCCTATAGGGTTGCTATGAGTTGGAATCAACTCAATGGCACAGAACAACAACACAAACACACAATTAATACTGAAGACATTCTGACTTGATAGTAATTTATTTTAATTATCTCTTGTCTAGCAATTTGAGAGGGACATCCGGCGCTACGCCACGCACGAGCGGAAGATGATACTGGACAACCATGCTCTATATGACAAGACCAAGGTAGAGTTTTCTCCCTGAGATGGGCTACTTTGACTCTCATCCCCAAGGCTAGCTCCCTGAGCACTTTCCTGAACTGATTTTAGTATCCAGGTACAGTTTCCTTTGCCATGAGTTTCCTGTTCCCACAGATTACTGTTGAGGGCATCTGGAAAGATTCCAGCAGGCCCACAGTCCCCAGCTGGCCCAAAATGCACCTCAGGGACTTTTGGCTTAAAGATGATGAGCAAGCTGGGCCTCCAGACCCATTCTAGCAGTGGACTGCTATTGTGTTTATATGTCCTTAGTGTTTACAATGAGCAACTCCAGAGAAAACCAAAGATCCCCCTAAATCACAAATACCACTCTAGTACCCCTTAAAGGCAGTGGGCAATAACATCCTGAGTGATCACTTCGGTCATTAATGACAGTCTGCTGCAAGAATAGAGAGCAAAAGAACTTCCCTGAGATGGAGATGGTTAGTCACTTGTTAAGTGACTCATTTGACATGCTAGCCTTGCAGAGGTCATGATCCAAGTTCATGCCTCAGCAAAATGATAAATCACTGTATGAATTATGAAGAGTTAAGTATTCCAGTGTTAAATCCACAAGTGCCAAGGACCAACTGTTCTTACAGTGGTCAAAGACACTAAACTAGGTTTCAAGGGGAAAACAGACACACAAGAACTAGAAGCAATGGTACTTGACCTCTAGGAGCTAATAGTCTAAATAACTTTGACCAAAAGAGAGAATTTAGCTTATATAACTGCAGCATCCAGTGGTAACAGTGGCTTCAGGTAGGGCTGTATCCAGGTGCTGAGGTAGACTTTCCTCAGCATTGGTTTCCTGATCAGACAGGGTTTTCTCATGAGTTTCATCCTTCTAGTTTAGCTATTCCAAAAGAGAGGAAGAGCTTCTTTGCTAATAGTTCCAGTAAGAATCCTAGCTGATGTTCATTGACCAGGCCTGGGTCATTTGCCTGTCCTTGGAGCTCAGGGTGGGGTGTTCTTCACCTGAACCTCATGGACTGAGAGTAAGTAGGGGTGATTTCCCAAAGAAAACTTGAGGTGCTGCTGCCAGTAGGGGGCCATGGATGCTGGCAGGAAAGACTCCAATGTTGAGCGTGTGAGTGGTGGTAGGTAGATTCATATAACACAATTTAGGAACACCTACAAATTAACATATAATAAATAGTTCAGTGTAAGCAAGTGTCTATATAAGTGTGCTATACACAAGAAGGAATGGAGGAGAAGTGGTGCTAGGTCTTAAAGAGATTATGGGGTGGAAGGCGGGGCAAGGGCAGGAGTGGAAGACTGGGAGGAGAACCCAACACATAGAAATATTCTATAATTACCAATAGCAGCAGTTTATAATTCTAGCTGCACATTGTAATTACCCAGTGAGCTTTTAAGTAGATTGATGCCAAGATCTCTTGCCCTGCGATTCTGATTTCTTTGAACTGGAGTATGGCCCAAGCGTTAGTTATACAATCTCCTTCAGGTGGGTGTAATGAACAGCTGTGGTTAAGAATTACAGACCCATAGAAAAAAATCCAAAAGCCTTTTGCTGAATGTGTAAAGATGTCATGATTTTATCTTAACTCATTTGGTACTGTATTTTTGGATGGGAAAATATAAAAATTACAGAATTTAGTTAAGATGACTTTTTATACTCAGAAACAGAAAATTATATTTTGGCAATAATTCATTCTGACAAGACAGTTTTACAAGTAGTAATTTTACTGTGTCAGCACTAAGATGCTTCACAAAAATATCTGAATGTACACATTTCTTATTGTTATGTTTCCAGAGGGTATTTCTTAAAGCAGACAGTGAAGAAGAAATTTTTGCACATCTGGGACTGGATTACATTGAACCATGGGAAAGAAATGCCTAGAAAAGAGTTCTGGACTTTTTTTCTGTTTTGGGGTTTTTTGCTACATTTTGTTATATTATAAGATCAAGTTAAATAACTATGCTTCATATTACAGTAAAAAGCTTCCTTAGGAAAGTTAAGGATTCTTCAAGTCTTAATGAAATGCAGATTGCTACTAGAAATGAATTGTTTTGGAAACATGATAAAGCACCATCTAGTAATAAGTTTTGCTCTAATAGATCACTTGTATGACTGCTGCTTAGAATTCACATTGCATTTTTCCATAGAAACAGTATTATAATTGGTGGTCATTTCCAAGGAAGCTCATCAAAACCCACCTTGCCCACAGTGTAACTGAAGTACTGTATACCTCATTAAAAATAGGAAGAAACAAGATGGTAGAGTCTTCTTTTATTCACTTAAATATTATAAAAATACTTTTAAACAAAAATGTAACAAAGTGAAATAAGAAAAAGTTTAAGATTTATCTTGAGGGTAAAACAGTTTTAATTAGAAGATACAGAGATTCCAAAGGGATTCTGGGTCCCTTCTGGAAGAGAACGGCTGACTCTTGGCTCTGGCTCAACTAAGTTCAAAGCCTGTTCCTCCCCCATCACCATGGAGCTGTGTCACTACGTGTCCCAGCACAAGGACACATAAGGGAATATGCCTACTGCTTTCACTTGGAAGGAAGCAGAATTTCCTAAAGCACCAAAGGAACATCTTTCTCTTTTTTCCGTCTTGGAGTCTCTCTATCGTTCTTAGTGGTCCGGTCTCTCTCAGGAAGGTGATCTGTTTTTGGTCTCTTCATCTTAAGGCACCCAAGGTATGGGAGACACCTCTGGCTGAGGCAAGCTTTGGAGTGCCCAGGCTCCAGATCAATTCTGGCATCCCAGTTTCTCCAGGTGGGCGTAGACCCTATGACTTGATGGGACTTAAAAAGCCATCTGTTGCAGCTATTCTGTATCCTCAACCTGCTGAGGAGCTGGGAGGATCCGTGACCCTTCTCCCTTCCTTCCTGCCTCCTCAGAGAGGAACATATTGGGAGATCTAGGACCCCATACAGAGACTTGATGTCCCACGGAAATTCCTTCCTTTCCTAGTGTTGCAACCGGGAGATGGGACATGTGTCAGTTAGTTTTGCCAAAAATGATACATAACAAACCATCCCAACACTCTGTGGCCTAAGACAACACAGGTCTCCATGTGGGCTGGGAGTCGGCTGATCTAGGTGGGGCTCTGCTCCCCATGTCCCTCATCCTTACGTCCCTGGGACCGGTGGGCTAACCTGGGCATATTCTTCCCACAATGGCAGCAGAGACATAAGAGCAAACAAGCCCAAGTGTGCACGTACTTTTCAAGACTCGTTCCATGTCTGTTAATATTCCAGTGACCAAAGTACATCACATGCTTAAGCATCAAGGGATGGGGAATTATGCCCTGTCCACAATGAGAGGACATTGCCAAGTTTTATGTCAAAGGGCATGGGTGCAGGGAGGGGTGAAGAACTGGGGTCATTAATGTAAGCTACTTCAGGGAGTCAAGTGTTTAGTCTCTTTTCATTCTTCTCTCTTCCCATTAACTGTCTCACTTAATCCTGGTAAATCTTGGAGAAGTGCCATCCTGGTAAATCTGAGGAGAGAGTGTTTCTGCTCAGAAGGAGCATTGAGCTTTGAAGGCAAAGATGGTGGAAGGCTTAAAGGCGAAGAGGCAGGGAGCTGGTTACGGAGGAGAACCTGCCCCAGTGTCTGGGTTTTAAGAAGAAGAAAGACCTTGAGGTGACATTCTATTGCCAAGTCAAGCTCATCAGGACATATAAGGGGCCACCACACCCCTCAGCAACACATCACAACTACGTTGACTATCTGCTGCAAGTATTCTGCTGTGGGTCTCACGGGCATTGTCGTGTTTAATCAGCCCAATATCCCTGAAGTGAGTAGGACACCTGCTTTACAAATGAGAGAAAGCTGAGGTGTTCCCTGCCCAAGGTCAAGCTAATATGCAGCAAAGCTGGAATTTGAGCCCAGGTCCAGGGCTGTCTGAATCCAAAGCCAATGCTCATTCCCACTGAGCAGGAAGGTTCAGGGGTGGGCATTTAGCTGTGTTCACTCAGTCATTCAACAGACATATTTACAGGTTTGCCTGAGACAGTTCCAGGTTATAGCTGCTGTCCCTACATGATACCACACACCTTCTGTCTTAAAAGTTTCTGGTTTGGATGATAAATTATATGATTACCCTATTTATTGAGCCCCTACTGTGGCACTGAGGATTCAGAGATGAACAAAACATGACAGCTTCTCTTGCTTGGTACCTCTTGGGAATTAAAGGCCAGGGGGAGTATTGTAGACCCACCTGAGGAGAGGAAACCTCCAACTGACCTCCCCTGAGACAAGAAGTCACAACATTCTGGGTGGCTGGAATGAAGCCTGAGATGCCCTATGAGACCAGCCTGGAGCCAGCCTGGCTGAGCCCTGGCACACAGGGGGGCCTGAGATGACCTCTGATATGCTCCCCCGTATCCAGGGACATAACTACAAACTCTATCCTCAAGTTGACTGAGGAGTCAGCAAGAGGCTCAGGAGACGGAGGGGAGAGGAGGACAAATCCTAGACCTGGGGCAGTTAGAGCTTAATGTCCAAAATCCAAGCCTCTTTTTATTATTTCAGTCTCTCTTAGAGGAGAGGTCTGGAAAACAAGGAAAGAAAATGAACAACAAAATGCAATGCCAGAGAATAATGGCTGGGCAGCAGCACAGTAGGAGTGCTGTCTTATGGCAGGAGATTAATGGCCCAGCTAGGTAAGGATAATACAGCCTTAGAAACTCTGGGGGTGAGGTGGGGATTCCCGTGGACTGGGGCGGAGGGGGGTGTTTGGGGCTGGGTAGGTGACTTCACAGAGGAGGAGGGCATCGACCAGGTTTTAAACAAAGGTATGATTCAGCTCCCTACAAGGCGGGGTGGAGAAGGCAGGGGGTAGGGTTATGGATTCAAGCCTAGAGGCCAGGAAAGGAATGCTGCATTCTACGGACAGGAGAGAGGACAGATGAACCAGAGCTTTTGATTTTGGAATGAACATCCAGAAATGACCTTCCCAAGCCTTCTTTCAAACTTAAACCTTGAAAGAGATAAAAAGAAGTGTTTGTGATGTATGATGGGGTCAAGAACTGACAGCCCTGGTCCAAGTCCAGCCCATAGATGTGTTTTTTTGGGGCTACATGATGTTTCAGGAATTTTTTTAAATTAGTAGTTGTTATGGATTGGATAAGGAGCCCTGGTGGTGCAGTGGTTAAGAGCTCAGCTGCTAACCAAAAGGTCAGTGGTTCAAACCCACCAGCTCCTCCGTGGGAGAAAGATGTGGCAGCCTGCTTCCATAAAGATTACAGCCTTGGAAACCCTCTGGGGCAGTCCTACTCCGTCCTATATGGTCACTATGAGTTGGAATCGACTCGACGGCAACGGTATGGATTGAACTGTACCCCTCCAAAATATGCGTTGGAATCCTAGCCCCTATACCTGGGCGTAATCTTATGTGGAAATAGGTTTTTCATTCATATGTTAATTAGATCATACCTGAGTAGGGTGAGTTCTAAATCTAATCACTTCTGAGTTATAAAAAGAGCAGATTAGACCCAGAGACTGCCCCCCACCCCTCACACACACACATATATGGGAGTGGTGGGGATAGAAGCCATATGAGAATTGTCTACCAGCCAAAGAACAAAGGAACACCCAGGACTACCTACAAGAAAAGAATCGACATGGCTGAGACCCTGATTTGGACTTTTAGCCTCCAAAACTGTGACAAAATAAATTTTGCTTTAAAGCCAGCCACTTGTTGTATTTCTGTTACAGCAGCACTAGGACACTAAGACAGTGGACAATACTTAAAACTTGATAGCTTGCACACTTTTAAGAAACAGGATTTATGGCTTTTCTTGGAAAACAAAAGGCATGGCAGCAATCAGCCCACAGTCCCACTTGGAGTCTGTTGGCTACAGTGGAGCAGCACTGCCCCCTGTAGGCGGGGCATGTGTTTTCCAGTTCAGCCCGATACCCCTGTCCCTACCCTACTTGCTTTCCCATGTACGGTGTCTCACCAGCCCCTTTAGGCTTTTGTGTTTGTGATCCCCGAAGCAGCATGTAGAGCCTAGGACTGGTGCCAGATGCTGTGGCCCCATCACCCACACAATGTGCGGCTGCAGCAAGTCATGCGCCCGCTCGGGGCTCATCTCTCACTTGTCGAATCAGGAAGTCAGCCTAAAAGGTCAAAAATCCCCTTCCAATGATGGCACAAGAGCTACTTTCCCTATTTGGTAGTAAATATTCCTGAATTATCCCTCAGGGATGACAGATACTAACAGGAATGCCACCACTCCCCAACCCATGAGACACTGACAATCTGCCAAACCCAGACCTCTCTGTACATAAGAGACAGGAAGGCTCTTCCAGTTCATCAGATGAAAATATCTTGCCCATCCTAAAACAAAAAGACAGTTCAGGGTGAAAACAGTAACACACTGGACAGGGCTTTAGGTATAAGCACCTATGTCATGTCTTGAGTTGATGACTAAGGAAAGCTGGGGGTAAGGAGGGTGGGTAGGCAGCAGCCACCCTCACTGAGAAAGGCCTCGTGGTCTACCATAAATGGCAAATCATACATGCCTTGAATCCCCAAATCCACAAAGTGTTCTCCTAATCCCTTTCCTCTGCCCCAGGGTCTCTCAAGTGTGATATTCAAGATAATTTTAGGTAGTATGTAGGTCAATATTTTTATACCAATATAACCAATAAATAATTATTAAGTGCCTACTATGTAACAGTCATTTTTCTAGGCCCTGGGCATAGAGCAGCAAACAAAACAGTCAAAAATGTCTGCTCACATGATTATATGTATGAAGTTAATAATCTAGAAAGGAAATCTGTTGCCATTGAACAAAAGAAAGGCCTGGAGAACCTGCTTCCCTTAAGATTACAGCCAAGGAAGGCAAGGCCCAGATGGCAGAGTAGCCAGCTGCTTCC